AGGTGATAAAATGAGTAGTATTCTAATAACAACACAAAGGGAAAGTATGACTCTCAAAACTGACCTTAAACCCAATTAGGGAACAGGTTTTCATCTTCACAGCCCTATCAAAATCTTCCTTCCACTTTGCCTCTGTTCCAAACATACGTAACACCGTCAAATGTTCTGCAAATTATCATTTCTATAGTGAAGAAAAAAACCCCTCCATATAATTTGCATTAGGATGTTAGTAATTCATTTCTTTGCTTCTCCTGGACCCCAAAAGAAAGCAGTGAACCCTGGGTTGAGTTCCAGCAGAGGAACGACTCTGGTGGACTGCAATTATTGCACGTGACAGGCAGATAAGAAAGACGTCTTAGTTAAGCAAAAATGTCCTTCTCACTTCTATCCTACCATGTCAGAGGATCATGCCCAGGTTATATTGAATTAAATAGCTCTTGGAGTTCCAGGACAGCGAAGCCAAATCCAGGAAGAGTTGAGAAGCAGCAAATAGGCTAGGATGTAGGCCCAGAGCATACCGTATTCTATCAATTAAAAACAGAAATGACCTAGTTCACCCCGCAACATGAAGAACAGTTGTCTCATTGTCATTGGATAGTCCATCAGGCCCAATCAAATCACTTGGACTTCACTTGTAGGCTGTTTTGCCAACTGGCTGATCCCTTATTTTTGTGGTCAATATAACCAAGTTAGTTTGAACGATGATTCACTGTATTTCAAAGACCCATTCTCCTATCATAACTTTACCTCTTCTCATTTTTACCATTTTGTTATAGTTACTAACATTATTTACTTAATCACATATGAATATGCATTAGAGACACCAGAATGAAATACTTTTCTATTCTCTACATTAAGTTCCACTTTTCCATTCCCTAGGTGGCCCAAGGGGATAGGTAACCAAACAAGATATATTTAAAATTCATTATTTCTGGAATTCTCCTTCCCAGTCTGTTTACAGATTTTTTTTTTTTTCCAGTTCAGTCCTGACACACAGACAAGTGTGTACCAACCGTCTACTTTTTATATTTGGGTGAGTACCTGGAAGTGGGATGTGGCAGAAGACAAGAATGAGGAGAAGGGAACACAAGCCCACTGTTAACTTCAAGGCTAACTTACTTCTCTCCTTCATTTTACTCCAAGTAAAAAGATTTCTGGTTCTTTATTTCACTCTGTTACCATTTCTGAATTACCTTTTTAGAATGTGCCCATGTCCTCATTCACCCCCAGTCCGTCCCCCTTGTGGTGCATGTCATGCCTCCTCGTTTTCTCCATTTTTCCCTTACAGATCTCTACCTGCACACTTACCTTATTTTACTCTCTGCGATGTTGTCAAACTACATGGCATCGAAGCACATAGGAGCATTAGTCTCTATCAAAGAACATGGATTGTGTGAGCTTCCTGAACTCCAAATAAAAGAATCTATGCTCAAACCAGAGTCCTTTCACTATGGCATTAGTGTTCTGGGACTGGGCTTTCTGTATAACACTATGTCCATTTATATGAATTATCCCCCAAATATAAATATAGCTAACTATCAGGAACATAGCCCTAGCACCACTTTCACTTTTTTGGTCAGTGGGAAATTTGGGCATTGCAATTTAAGTCCTTAATAGCAATAGCCTAGAATCTATTTTTTTTGGTCAGTGGGAAATTTGGGCATTGCAATTTAAGTCCTTAATAGCAATAGCCTAGAATCTATTTTTTTTTAAAGTGACTACCAAAGCTAAAGATACCTTGATGTAGCTGTAGTTACTATTATTATTATTTCCATGTTGAGTAGAAGGAATTGTGGTTTCTGCAATATTGTGAATAATAGTTTTGTCACTGAACAGGGAACACGATGTGTGTCTAGACGGTCTCCCATAGGGCTCACAAACATTTTCAATTGTCCCCAATGTGGTAGCCACATGTTTGTTTTCAGCTGGTTGAGTCTTAAGCCAGAATTTAGAGACGGTGGAAGACAGAGAAAACCAACTAAGCGTCTCTTTAGGATGTGTCATGAAGGGCAATGTGTTTCCCCCCGCTAAAGTAGTGAGTTTAAAAGAAAATAAATATTGCACGCCATTGTTGTTCTCATTAGTTATTTATACTCTGATAAGACATTTTTAAGTCTGTTGGAACAAATTCGAAAAGAATTGGTGAAGCTCATTCAGCTCTAAATTTTGAGAATGAGTGAATCGGTTGATATTCATTGAGTGCTCGTGTGTGCCAGTCACCATTGCAGTTACTATACCACAGAGCATAAATGTGTTTAAGAGGTATATTAAAACAAATAAATGTATATTGAATTTCACTGACAGGAAATAAGTAAAAGGGGAGAATGATGGTCAGCAAAATCTAGATCACACATAAAATACATCCAATGTTTTAAAATCCAACTGAAGCAGTTACTCAATTAAATGTTAGTAATCATAACAAAACAGCCTAGTGAATGAATTGAAAGTAGTTAGAGTTACTTGGATATTCACAAAACTCAGAGATTTTAAAACTAGGAAAACTTTAGGAAAAGATTTGGATTAATTCTTAATTCCTACAGATAACTAAGAGCCAGGGAAAGTAAATCAGCTGTCCAAAGATACACAGCTTTTTTGTGAGAGCACCAGATGGGAAACAAGGCTATGTTATCTGAGATCCAGCAAAAACTTTCTCCTCCCCACCCCATTAGAAGCTGCTGTGGTCGGCCACTCTGACAGCGTGACCTCCATAGCAGAGGTCTTCCCTCAGGAACATGTGGTCAAGCACTAGCAGTTACAGGCCCTTCTCCTCTGGGGAATACACTGTTCGTGGGTGCATACAGAATCTTTTTCAGATGAGAGATAATTATACTCTATCCCTTCCTGCTTCTCCTATAATTTGGCCTATCCATTCAAATTATATACACCTGCTTCTTTTTACTCTATCGTCTCTTTGTGGGTTTGGAGAAATTGAGTAGTTTAATTTTAACCACAGCATCAAGTCTGTAAAATGACAGCTAGAGATGTCTCTGACCTTCACAGCAAGAAATGGCACAGTTGAACTGCAGTCAGTGGGATTTGCACTTGAACTTTTATCTTCATCTTATAAGCAATAGATTTGCCAAGCTCCTGGCAAGCTTCCATTGATACCTCTTTGTGACCAAAGATACTATGTGGTCATGGGCAGAGCAAATCTAACTTGACTCAAAAAGAGCCAAACCCGTCACCTTGGGCTAAAAATTGTGTGATCTGACGAGTTAAGAGACCCAGCCACAGCTCCCTCAGTGTAAGTCGGTGTTCCTTAGGTGGCAAGCAACAGAAATTGACTCTGACCATGTTAAGCCACAAAGGAACACAATGGAAAAATGGAAGGAAGAGCTTAAGAACGTGGTGCAGGAAGGTACTGTGGCAACTCAGCTCAGAGGGAATCTGTGTACCAAGACCTCATAGACACTTTCTTCAGCAGTGGGAAGAGTGGACTCCAACATTTTTGAGTCTTGATGTCCTTCAGTTCAAGATTCAAATTCTAGGGAAACAGTTTTATGTGCCAAACTTGGATCTCATGACCGCTACGTGAATTGGGGGATGTCTCATGAATGCTCATTCAGTCCTACAATTCAATTGGGTAGGGGAAGTTTCCCAGAAGGAAAACACAGTTGCTCTGACGAGAAAAAAATGGAAAATGGATGCTTAGCAATCAAATCAGCAGATGTCCATGATACCACCAAAATGTGGTGATTAAACGTGGAGATCAGGGAATTACAGAGATAGCTAAATACCGAGGTATACTTAGACAACAGCTCAATGATGGCACCAATAAAAGATTATTAAAATACGGTTTTGAGTTATAGTTTTAAATCAGGCCTTTTAGCAGCCATTTTTCTTTGAACTGTTTGCAGCGCTGCCAAAAACCTGTGCATGTGTGAATAACTGGACCATTAAGCATCTCTTTCCAGTCAGCATTACGGACCTCCCACCTCATCCTCTTACCCTCTCTCCTAGGGCCACTCCTACTCCCTTCTCTTTAGGGAAATCTGAATCCCAAAGCTGTCTCTTTAGCAACCTCTTTGTTTAATATGGAAGATCAATCAAATGTCATAGGACTTTTCAACATTTAACAAAGTTTTAAAATCCAAAGTCAAATCTAATTATTAGATGTAGAAAGCGAGGGTGGGGGGGTGGGGGGTGAGGAAGTCAGATAAAATGCTTATTTGAAGCTGGCTGTCTTCTGAGTGATCTCTGAGGCAGTCTTGCTCTAGCCCCCCTTCAATGAAACTTCTTGGTAGACACTTAAGAAGAAAGAAGGTTCTTCACTTCCACACAAAGTACAAATCAGGCCAGCATTCAGGAAAAGAGACAGGTTTATTCATCGCTTTCAGTGTTAGCTGGCTTTGTTCCCTGCACAATTTCACTTTTAGTTATTAAACTATTCAATGTAGGAAACAACTTTGTAACCCATTTCTCATATTACCTGCACACACACACACACAAAAAACAAAATTTGATATCCTGGGGTTTATTTGCTGAGGGCACTTCCCATAAAAATGAGTGAGTATGCATTGGGAAATCTGTCTGGTTAACTCCTTATGGATAAGATAAGTTAGTCACAATCGTTCTCCTCCGCCTCCAGCTCTCGTCCCCAGCACCCTCCCTACCTCCTCCTAACTTCCCGCCTCTCCGGGGCTGGTGACCTAATAGCATTTTTCTTCATGCATATTTTGGCGTCGCCCCACGGCCTGGCTGCCTTTGCTTGTCTGAGTCTTTTGAAATTCCTGCATGTTCGCCCCAGATTAAGCCTAGTGTGTCTCAGGATGTGTGATCCGTTTTTGTTTTTTCCCCTTAACTCTCCCTGTGCAACGTGTCTGGGGGGAGGAGGGCAGGACGGGGAGCGGAGGGAGGGGCAGAGACGAGGAGCTGTCCCCTCGCACGTTTCCAATCGTATTACGTGAACAAATAGCGGAGGGGTGGCCGGGCCTGAACGGCTTGTGTAACTTTGCAAACGTGCCAGAAAGTTTAAAATCTCTCCTCCTTCCTTCACTCCAGACACTGCCGGCTCGCCGGGCCGCCGCGCCGCCGCGCCGCTCCCCTTCGCCTTCCAGAGCACTGGGAAAGAGGAGAGGCTGGTGCCACGTCCCAGCAGCTGCCTTGGCTGGAGCAGGGTCTGCAGCCCACCCTTGGTACTGCTTGGTGGGGACTAAAATACTCCTGCTCCACCGCCACCGGGTTGAAGATTTCTCCTTCTCTCACGTGATTTGAACCCCGTTTTTCTTTTCTCTGAGCTACTGTCCTCCCGGAGTGGGGGCAATCCGGGAAAGGGAACGATGCGCTTCGCCTGGACCGCGCTCCTGCTGGGGCCCCTGCAGCTTTGCACGCTCCTGCGCTGCGCCCCGCCGGCTGCGGGCCAGCAGCAGCCCCCTCGCCAGTCTCCTGCGGCTCCGGGCACCTGGAGCCACAGGATCCAATGGGAGAACAACGGGCAGGTGTTCAGTTTGCTGAGCCAGGGCTCGCAGTACCAGCCGCAGCGCCGACGGGACCCGAGCGCCACCGCCCCGGGCGCCGCCAACGCGGCCGCCTCGCAGCCGCGCACGCCGATCCTGCTGCTCCGCAACAACCGCACGGCGGCGACTCGGGCGCGGACCACTGCCTCATCGGGAGCCTCTGCCGGCCTCCCCGGGCCCGCAGCCCGCCACTGGTTCCAAGCTGGCTACTCGTCGTCCGGGGCCCGTGAACCCGGCGCCTCACGCGCGAGGAACCGGACCACGCCGGCAGAGCGCCCGGCGCTCAGTAACTTGAGGCCCCCTAGCCGCGTGGACGGCATGGTGGGAGACGATCCATACAACCCTTACAAGTACTCCGACGACAACCCCTATTACAACTACTACGACACGTACGAAAGGCCCCGGCCTGGGAGCAGGTACCGGCCCGGCTACGGCACCGGCTACTTCCAGTACGGTAAGCACCACAAGTCACCGAAACCACCGCACACCCCTTCCCCAAAGTGGCTGGTGGCTCCCCGACGTGGCTGCCAGGGCGCGGCAGGCCCTAGTCCCCGCAGATCCGATCCCTCCCTCTGCGCCTGCAAAGGCAGCCCTGGAATCTGGTGCAAACCACGCGCCTGGCCCCTCCTGCTTCCTTTCCACATTGTTTTGCAGCCTGGGGCATCCCCTTTCTCCTACCCGCAGCCTAGCACTGGTACAGCAGTCCGGTTGGGCAAAGGATGAGGAGTAAGAGACACTGAGGTACCAGTTGCCAGGGTAGGGGGCGCAGCGTTGTCTCACTGCTGTGACCATCGCCTGCTCTCCTTTAGGTCTCCCGGACCTGGTGCCAGATCCCTACTACATTCAGGCGTCCACGTACGTGCAAAAGATGTCCATGTACAACCTGAGGTGCGCTGCGGAGGAAAACTGCTTAGCCAGGTACTAGCTGGGATATCAGCGGCCCGGCTCCCCGGTCATCGTTCCGGGGGCTGCTCAGGTGCCTAGTTCTGACCACTCTTGTTCCTACAGACAAAAGTAGGAAAGTGGTGCAAGAGTTGAGAAGTAGGACTTGATCTCCTGGGCATGCTGACCTGGATGGACAGTTAAAATTTTGAAGATTTCTGTGGGTTCTCTTTCAAACTGAAGCACAAGATCCAAGATCCTTCAGCTTTGGAGCTAACTGTTTCCAATCGCTTTCTATTAAATTAAATGTAGAAAACGTGAAAAATAAATATTGTGATTGACGATTAGAGGCTAATTTGCCAATGTGGAACCCTTCATTGACAAGAGTGGTTTTCTTTTGTTTGAAGCCACGATTAGTTTCAGGGATTTTACTTCAGCCAGAATAAGACCATGAGCAAGATCGTTTTTCCCCCCATCAGTCCTAAAATAAAATCATAGCAATTTTGGGAATGGATTTCTCTGAATATGCTGCTGGGAAACCAGCAGAGGGAGCAAAAGAACGTCTTGCAAGGTCTCAACAATATTTTACAGTGTAAAATAAAGTTATTAATAGTATTTGAATGTATTTTCACACAAAATATATTACAAGGAACATAGTAAGGCTTATTTGTGTATTTCTCCCACTTTGACTCTTTGTAACTGTCACGCTAAAGGAAGAGAAGGAACTGAAGCCTATCATTTTCATTCCTGAGTCTTGCATCACTCACACCATTGCACTCCCGACATTATTATAGCAATGATGTTGTTTTGAAGATAGTGACGTTACAAAATTATTTATCTAATCTGAGTGTAGTGTTTTAGGGTTATTTTCTCACTTTACATCTTAGTTAATTGTTCAAGAAATGTATTGTTAAATTCAAACTTCTTAATAAGTAAATATGGATTTCTTTTTTAACCTTGGATAATTACCACCTCAGTTTCACTCATTCATATGGTTACACTTGAATTGTTTATAAAGTTTACATATCATATGTAAATTTTAGTGCTAATTTTATTATGTTTTTACACTTAAACTGAGGATTTCCATAGTTGTCATTCATTCACCCATTCAACACATGTTCACAGAGCTCTACTTGTCAGGCACTGTTCTAGGATCTGGAGATTTGGCAATAAATAAAGTAAGCAAAATGCCCTGGTCTCTTGGAATTCGTAGTCTAGTTTGGGGAGTAAGGGAGTCACTATTATACATTGAAAAAGGTTTTGCTTGTTGTTTTGTCTTTAGTTAATAGTCTGTGAAAATGTGTCTTTTTTCCGTAATGACAGCTCAGCATATAGGGCGGATGTCAGAGATTATGATCACAGGGTGCTGCTAAGATTTCCCCAAAGAGTGAAAAATCAAGGGACATCAGATTTCTTACCAAGCCGACCAAGATATTCCTGGGAATGGCACAGCTGTCACCAGTAAGTAGATGGGCCTCCTGGGTATTTTGAGTTGTTTTTTTCATGTTTCAAATGATTCTTACACAAAGGGAGAAAATTGCTGTAATTTACATTTAGAATTCTTCTCCGTATTTTTTGACATAATCAGTGGAGTATGTCTTTAAGATAGTATATCAATTACTAGATCCTGCTATTTTTTTAAATTAGAAACTCTAAATCCATCTTATTAAAACTGCTCATAGCATACAGCAATTGGCTTTGCTAGACTTGTACTCCAAAGTATCATAAGTAAGCTTGATAAAGAAGCCCGCTGCGGCCGGGATCACCTATCTATAGTCGGTTCACATTTGACAGCATTTAATAAAGACCACATATTTTTATCAAAAGGGTTCAGATACTTTTCTCAAAGAAAGGTGTCCAGGGGTTTTCAACCCACAGCCCGCAGGTCGCACGTGGGCCATAATGGCTATGAATGCGGCCCAACACAAAACCGTAAATTTACTTAAAACCTTTTTTTTTTGCTCATCAGTTTTCGTTAGTGTTTGTGTATTTAATGTGTGGCCCAAGACAACTGTTCTTCTTCCCGCGTGGCCCAGAGGCGCCCAAAGGTTGGACACCCCTGAATCTATCCCATGAGCTGAGAAGGACCTTTCTCCATCTTTTAAAGGACCGGAATCAATACAACTGCTCATTCTGTCCTAACTTTAAAAGAATCTCACGTTAGGTTATTCTATAATTCACCTTGATAAATGGCCCAGCTGTCTATTGCCAAGAAGTCCCGATGTGCACTCTTTGATTTTCTGCAGTTCAAGCCATGTCCTCTTCTTTCCTTAATGTGTGGACAAACACTCAGCACCTTCTCTTTAATGGAATGATAACAGTAGATGGGAGTGCCTAATTTGCTGATAAAACAGAATTATTTTATTTCCAAATAAAACTTTATACTGGTTTAATAATAATGGTGGAAAAAAACATGCCATTTTTTCTCTTTTGCATTTTAGCAATGATTTTAAATCTATGAAAACTCAGTTTTTAAAAATGTCACAGAAACTTCCCTATTGTTATGAGCTCTTCTTTTTTGGAATGAAACATCATTATTGGCAGCCAAGGGAAATATACTAGAAGACATATGGCAAGTTTCACTTAAACACAGATAATTTATTGTCTATTTCTATTTAACAGTCAAAGGTAAAACAGGGTAAAATAGAAAAACAAGATATTCCAAATAAGGTTTTCTTTTCCCCCCAAAATATCAAGTTAAAGGTTACAATTTTAATAGATTTCTAACCCTCGGTTGGGGTGGGCGGGAATCTAGCATGAATCTGGCTTTAAGAAGATAAACTTTATCTCAGTATTAATGTGCAAATGAATGTGTACGGCAGGTGGAAGTAATCTAAAATTCTCACTGGTTCTCTCTGTATGTTACTGACCACTGTCTCTGTGTTATACGGAATATTAGACATTACCACAGCATGGATGAATTCAGCCACTACGACCTGCTTGATGCAAACACCCAGAGGAGAGTGGCTGAAGGCCACAAAGCAAGTTTCTGTCTTGAGGACACGTCCTGTGACTATGGCTACCACAGGCGATTTGCATGTACTGCGCACACACAGGTAGGTCGGCATTATCAAATCCGGACTCTGCAGAGACGCCCGAGAGAAAACAATGTGGTCTTCTTATTTTCTTCCCTCCTGCCTGTCTTTTACAAACTGTTCCATGGAGGGGGTCATCCAGTCAAGATGGAAAATAACTGGGAAAGGAAAAGTGATGGCTTGATGATCCAAATATTTTGAAAGTATTTCATCATCACAGAAGGTCACTGCATACTTATTATGTTCCACAATCAAAAGCAGCCCTTTACTCTCTGAAAAAATCTGAATGGTTTCCAATATCTGAACTTATTCTGTATTCTTTAACAGGCTTGGTAAGTAACTGTAGAAAAGATCTGTTTTCTCACCTGCAAAACCATTCCTTCCTCCACCTATTAAGCTAAAAATAGGATAGCTGGTGATTGTGGTTAGCAAAAGGAGAGAAAATAGGTTTCTAAAAAAGCACTTTTAAAAACTGTCTCTTTTAATCATGCAAATAAGAGCAGAAGGATACCATTTCTTTCTTCATGCATATATATTTAAACCTACAGTATAATTGATGTCAGATGTTCTTGGGATGGATTTTTAAAAATCGTGCTGAACTAAGCAGTTTGTATGTCTTATAATGGGAAAATCTGTGTCAGTTAAAAACCATGCCAGTATTTCCATAAGAAACTCTAATTTGTAAAAGGACATTATAATTTTACTCCAACCAAAATCTTGGCAAGGAGTAGCAAAATGTATATAACTCAGGGCACAAAGGGATCAGCAGCTGGCACCTGGGGAAGCAGATTCCAGGGCTGTAGCAGGAAGCTTTTTGATGACCTAAATGTTACTGTTGTTTCTTTCCCTGAGTTTAGAACATCACAGCAATTGGAAGGAGCGGAGGAGGTTCACTAAGTGCCCTGAAGCAGCACTTATTATTTAGGCAATAGAAGATGCAACCTACCCACATATTACACATATGTGCGTATAGAAATTCCCTTTTTCACACAGTGATCTCCAAGTCCCATAGCAACTGCCTGTGCAGGGACCTGGAGATTATTCCCTTCATTTAGAATGAAGCACTCTGGACAGCTCACTGCTGAAATACTTGAGTACAGGAATACAGGCATTTATAGCACTTCTAGTCCCCTAATTTTTGGAGTAACCCCACTTCATTTTATACGGTAGCTTTCCTGTTTATCATCTCTATTTATGACCTTTTTAACTATCATTCACCAGGTCTTGAATTGCAAATGATTTATGATTTTGTGTTTTTACCTAGACTGCTGCTTCATTTAAAGAAAAAAAAAATGATTCTCACAAAGTCCCAATACTGACTTAGATTAGTTGTAATATAATGATGATTAAATGTATCTAAATATAAAACCAGATATGACTTCCTTGTATTTATACTTTCATATAACTCTTACATAACAAATTTATATCTAAAACTAGAAACTGTCACATTAACCTCATTCATTTAATGTAACAGTGTTTTGCTAAAAACAAATAACTAATTTAGACAGCCTCAGGCATTTACATTTCTACATTTAATCTGTTTTTAAAGTATCACTTTGAATATATGAAATACCTGTTTGCTTAATGGCCTTAAAACCCCTCATATTTGTTTGCTAGTTCAGATAATCAAAGCTCATACTTAACTTCTGCTGGCTGAGTTATCCTGGAGTACCAATTTCAACATTCTTTAAAGCTCTTTTGCTCACTTGAAAGTAAGATACACATTGCGGCGTTATTTAAACCTGTATTAAAGAGATATCTAATCCAGTGAATCCCTTATAATGCCATAAATTTAGTAGGAGCAGTAGCAACAATAATAGGACCTAACGGTGATTAAGTATTTACTATGTGCCAGAATCAGGATTATGTCCCGGAATCAGAAAACATTTATTATATATTTACTCCTCAGCATACTGTTAGTGTGTTGGTACGAACCAAGGTGGGTATATGGTCCACACTGCCCTGACACAAGTAATTTTGAGTGTGGCCTGTCTGTGCTATTTTGTGTGTTGTTCTCACTCTTTCTTCCTGAATCAGGTTATAGCCAAACCAATATTGGTAGGACATGCTTAGATGATCCTGCCATCTTAAGCACCAAAGCAAATTTGGGTGCTGAAATTAAGTGGCCGCATTGAGTTAAAATGCTTCTAGCATCTGCTTTTTAATTTACTTTAGATTACCATTAGAATGAAAATACCACAGTAGAACCTCTTGCAAAGAATTAGTGGGATGAAGAATATACCCACAGACTTCAATTTGAACAAAATTCTCAGACTATAACTTTCTGGAGAGTGAGGACCATATGTCATTTATCAATTCTTCCCTCAGCCTGTAGAAGTCACTCATTTACTTATTGAAGTGAATAGCAAGCACAGTGAGGTGGGATTCAAACACTGAAATGCACATTCATCCCTTTAATTCAACAGAATACTTCAGTGACTACATGAGAGAGTACAGTGTGGTGCTTAAGATCAGAGACTCTGGATCCAATTGCCTAAACGCAAAACCAACTCAGCCACTTACGAGCTGTGTATCCTTCCATGAGTTTTTTGACCTTACTCTGCCTCAGATCCCTTTTTTTGTAAAATGAGGATAATAATAGCACCTACCTCTTGTAGTTCTGGGAACTGAATTTATGTGACATTTTAAAATTATTCTTGGCACAAAATACGTAGTTACTGTTAATTATATAGTTAGATATATAGTATGATTATACCTCAGAGGAGAAAAGGATAAATACTATAAAAGCTATAGACACAAGAAAGTGTCATGGGCAGAGTACAAGACGGTAACTTCCCAAAGGGGAAATTGGGGAAGGTTGTACTGAGAAGATGACAGTTGAGCTAGATTGATTATTTATTGTGTGGCCTTTATTCTTGAACTGGTGATAGTTTAGAATTTTGGTAGAGGCCTATTTTGTCACTTGAGATCGTATTTATCACTGGTGATTTGTGACACTTCTAAAAAGCTAGATGTACTACTACTTATATTAGTCCTGTATTTTTTTTAGCTGGAGGTGCTATAAGGCTGAGTAATATATACTTCTCAAGGGAGATGCAATATAAGTATAGTTTTATGTCAGACTCTTGTAAGTACTAACTAAAAATTTAATTTGCAAATAATAAGCATATTCTTTAGCATACTCTAATCATACACCATCTTTTTAAAATTGTTTATTTCATTTGTTTTAGGGATTGAGTCCTGGCTGTTATGATACGTATAATGCAGACATAGACTGCCAATGGATTGATATCACAGATGTAGCACCTGGAAACTACATTCTAAAGGTAGAGGCCTTTGAAAATATGTACCTGTAATTTATTTTGATTGCAATTCAATAGATCTCTTCCTCTGGATTCAAATTTAAATAACCATGGCCCTCAAAACAATTACATATCTTCCAGAACTATTTCTAAGTGATCCTATAAATATGAAAAAATTTCTTGTTTTAAAGAACTTGAGGAAAAAATAGACAGCCTCTCTCCAAAACTTCTCCAAAGTTTAACCACTTGCCTAACTTAACCCTCCCTGCACAGTGAGTTGATGCATGCTAGCCCTGTGAAAATAGGAAGAAATTAACCAGTAAACACTGCTGATAAAATCTGATATGCGGATGATGTTTGCATTGCCTAGGTCAGTGTGAACCCCAGCTACCTGGTGCCTGAATCAGACTATTCCAACAATGTCGTGCGCTGTGACATTCGCTACACAGGACATCACGCGTATGCCTCGGGCTGCACAATTTCACCGTGAGTCTTATTTGCCTAGCTAAGTGATCCTCTTTCACAGAGTGTTTTAGTTCATCAGCAGGCATGGGATGGGTCTGTTTCTCCCACTACTGTAGCCTCTTTGTAAACGAGACCAAAGATAGGGAATGGTAGAGCCTGCACCATCACATAGGTAGAGCTGATCATTTTTAGGTAATGTTAGAGAAAGGAGCTGTATTTAGGTTTTTAGCATCCTAAAGCTTAGCTTTGAAGAAAGACATACACACAGAACACATTGTTTACCCAGAAAGCCTGTGTGGAGGCCGAATATGTAAAATATGCCATCTGCAATGCGGTGTGGGAGCCCAAACAGTGGGTTTCCTGCTCCTGCCAAACAGTCCATGAAGGAGTGCTGAAGAAATTCCTAGAGTTCTTCAAAGTACATTCTGAAAAATCTTTACTGCTTTAAAGTATGCAGCTTAAGAGGTCAGACTCCCTATTCTGTAGAAATCAAGAGTTCACATATGCAAGTTCTAGAACAAGTACTGGAGAAATATTCAGCAAAAGGAAGGAATGTGTGGTGGTGCCCTCATACTTTTCTTAGTTCTGAAACCCTTCTGCGAATGAAATCTTAGATAGAATCCCTGCACATTACTGTCAACAGGGGTGGTATATTGATGAAAATACTTAAAGAAAGCTGAGGAGGTTTCCTGCCTGTGTCTGCTCCACCCTGATCCCTAAGCACTGGCTGCTCTAGTGTTGCTGGGTTATGCTTTCTAACTACACCTGCCACCTGTGAGTCACGCCTTCTGAACCAGGAGAACATCATTGTTCTCCTCTTCGATACCGAACACAATCAGCTTTGTTTTGATGTTGCAGAGGCGCCGTTGTCTCTGGGTCACGCATAGCAGGTACACTAGAAAGTCACAATTAATAGCAATTTCTCCCTGATACACAAACCAGGATATCGTTTGGCTGCACACGAACCTCTAGTTTGTCAGTTGTCCCAAGACCACCTACACCTAGTTATACAGGTTCTGCCTTCTATCTGGCCTCCTGGCTAGGGAGAGATGGGGGCTTAAAGCAGCTCATGCTCCATTCACAGAGCTGTGTACTGTGGTTTGGGCTGCATTCACCTTGCAAGGATGCCTTTTCCTTATTCCCATAAAGGAGCAAAGCCTGTGCTTCACAAGTATCATAACAGCATTAAAGATAAATGAAGTTTATAACAGGAAAGGGACAACACAGAAAAAAAGATAATTAAATATATTCTCCTGAACATGCCCACAATACAGAAAACCTGGATGGGTTTATGACCCATATTGTATAGAGTTGATCCTAGTACAACTGTAAATTCCCAGAACGTCAGTGTAATTTGATAAAGTAAATAAAAAATAAATGGGTTAATTTCTCTTAGTTTTTATAGTTCCTTAATTTATTCACTCATTATTTATTTACTGGCACTCTCACATTTGCACTATGTATTTACTGAGGTCCTACACTGCATATTAGAGAGTAATGCAAAGATACATGATTCCTGACCCTGGATTGCTCCCGTGTAGGCTTATTACAATAATTCTAATTAATTGCTTGTGAATCTCTTGGTTTAATGTTTGTCTCCTGCTGTACTTTGTCATGGTTGGGACCTAGCCTGTTGTCTACTGTATACCCATTGCTAGGTATATAGGCCTGCCACCATGTCATGTAGCCTCTTACGCTATACCTGACTAATAGATAAATTACCTTGTCTTTAGGCATTTTGAATGGAGAGGGTGAGAGGGGTAAGATATAATAATAAGTTAGGTGACTCCCAGGTACAGCTGCCGACCTTGCACTAGGACTAGGTCTAGAAAGCTGACTCTGTTGTTGCATAGAATCTGTCTTGCTTTTCATCAATAGAATCCATTGAATTGGATGTTGCCAGATATTTTGAACAAATAAAAATTGTTATATTGCTCCAGCCTAAAGTTGCCTTTTTTTTTTAACCAGTTGCCACTGAGTGTAATTAAACTGCAAGAGTGGTTGAGTTAGAATTTTAATAATAAATATTGATCAGATGAAGAAATGAAAAACTTGAATGACCCATAGTTAGTGATTCATAATACAATAAGATCACATTTAACTACAAGTGGGAGAAGTACAGAAACCTTGAGAAAGAAACTCTCACGTTCAGGATGAATGCCTCTTGTATTTGGACTTTCGCTTCAGTCTCCCTTTCTAGGGGTCAGAGTTCTCTGGCTGCGAATCAGGAGTGGCTTTAGGACAACACTTGAATTGGGCCTTGAAGGCTGAGGAGGGTTGCACGGGGGAGAGTTAAGCAAGAGCATGCCGGGAGGAATCAACATCACCGACACCTACGTGGCAGGAAGAAACTGCAGAACATGTTTAGAAAAGCAAGTGTCCTAGTCGGGCTAAAACATGTTTTGTGGAATTAAGAGTTAGGCAAAAAGGAGAAGTAAGCTGGGACCAAATCAAAGGGAGCACTGAAGAGCAAGCCAAAAAGTGGGAACTTCATTGTGAAGCTGATGCAGTCTTTGCAGTTTCTTGGGCGGGGAGTTTACCTCGCCTCTGGTGAAATGGTCAGTCTTCCGACTCTGTAAGCAACAATGTGTGATTCCCTCAGTAACACTATTGCTGTTTTTTAACTCTTAAAGATGTATCACCTCCCGATTTACTAGTATTTTTCATGTTAATGAAATATTTGAGAGCATTCCATTGGTGTGAACAAACCATCCGGTTAGAAAGTGTGTGCCTTTAATTACTCTCTTCTCCCTCATTTTCCTTCCTGTAAATAAAACATATGGACCAGGTGACTGTGTGGCCCAGTTCAGTCCTATGATGCTGCAATTAAGTTCTTTTCTCACAGAAATTACTGTTTGGAAATTTATTGTTTATGAATTTTGGACTAAGTACATTCTTACTTCCTTTACATGGGGATCTATGATCACAATATATATACAGTAATATTGGGTTTATTGGTTTTGATCCTCTGTCTTACCCATTAATGCCTCACCGCACATCCAAAATCATGCTGGAAAAGGACTCATGAAGAGGCCACGACCCTGCTTTTCAGTGCACATGCCATACTTGCCCCATGGAGTGAACTTACCCAGGCAGGGCTGCTGTACTCCTGATTATTGCAGTGGATGTTTCTTTTTAACTATAAACATCAAATCTGTAGGTATCAGGGATACACTTTCTACTATTGACATAGTTACTTTCTTTAAATCAGTATTAAAATCATCCTGACTGATGTGGCTCGGTAGCTTGGACATCATCCCGCAAACCCAAAGGTTGCCAATTCCATTCCTGGTCAGGGCACACACCTGGGGTGGGGCCAGGTCCCTGGTTGGGGATGTGTGAGAGGCAACCCATTGATGTTTCTGTTGCACATCGATGTTTCTCTCCCTCTCTCTCTCTCCCTCCCTTCCCTTCTCCCTAAAAAATAAATAAAATCTTTAAATCCATATTAAATCAAGTATTAATGGTGAATTTAAGAAGGTGACTGTTGCTTAGGTGGAGGGACAATGACATCTCAATTTTTAAAAAGGTTGACTTCAAACTTGTCTACTGTGTTCATTTATAATATACCAGGTTAATAACTTGTCTTATTTTGTTTTTTAATATAGGTATTAAAAAGCCAGCCAAGACTCCCAATGGATAAATCAGTGCCTGGTGTTCTGAAGTGGGAAAAAAATAGATTAACTTCAGTAGGATTTATGTATTTTGAAAAAGAGAACAGAAAACAACAAAAGAATTTTTGTTTGGTTTATAATAGCACATAACTGGATTTTGAACATTTAAATCGGCATTATTTGGAAAAATTTTAATATTATTCACTTTATTTTGTGAATTAACATAATGTTTCAATTATGTAGTTGCACACTTGGTTATTTCAAAGAAATCCAAATTTCTTATGCTCTTTTTGAGATTATAATACAGAAAGGAAAACAATATTTCAATGAATGAGCCAAAATTACTTTGAACTGGGAATTTTTTAAAGTACTGAAACTTCGGTGAACCACAATAATAACTGGCTTATATATGTCCTGGCATAGATTAATTAGAAATGAGGCTCCTACTGTTTAAATAGATATGGACACATTTGGTGCTGAGGAAGGAACAAACACATTACCATTGGTATCAAGAAATATTACTATATAGCAAAGAAATGGCAATATATGTATTCAGATAGTTACATCCCTATATAAAATTTATGTTTACATTTTTAAATTAGTAGATAAACGCCTTTCTTTCTGTCAAGTGTACAATCTCATTCTGACTTAAGTCAGCTTTTGTTTTGGAACAAATTAAGTAATTGAGCTGTCCAGCTCCTCCCTGCCATTTGTTGATGCTTCCCGCTCTACTCTTTAATCTCCCTACTGGCAGAGAACTTTTAAGTGGCATCCTTAAAGTTACCATCCTGGGGACCGGTATACATAGGACAGCTGTGTCAATGGGGAGTTATTCTGCTGACAAACGTAATATATCCAAAGATAATGCACAATTAAGTATATGGAAGTATTAGCTAAAAAATTTTTCTTACTGACATAAAAAAAAAATCATATGAACAAGTCCCTCAAACCACAACTGTCAAATGCTTTTTGAAAATTAATGAAAAACATCTTAGATTTTTCAAATTTTCTACATTTTTTAAAATGTTCAGCGTTAAAAAGAGGAATCTTTAAAAATTTTAAATTATCCAAAATAGATGACATAATGTGTGTGGATACAGGAACCTTATCCTACGTCAACCAAGAGTCAGTCATACATGTTTGTGTGTGTGTGTATATCTGAAATATAATCTAAATTAGGAAAGCACATAGCATTACATACTTGAGGGGTTGGTAAATAAGGGAAAAAATACTTTCTGTAAAACCAAGGACTGTGCTGCATAATGAGACAGCTGTGATTTTATTTTAAACTGTGAAACCGTGTGCTATAATGGAATTTGGAGAATTTCTCTTTTTCCTAAATTCAAGAAGTGCAGAAAGAAATCAAATTACACATTTAAGTAAGTGGTGCTTAAGCAGTTTTCCTACATTAACCAGTATTAAAATCTCAAGTAAGGTACTTTAAGTGCAAGGACACATGAGGTAGAATTTAAAAAAGAGTTGGCATCCTCATACTATATGCGCCATTGAGTTGTAAAGTCACAACGTCCTGCACTCACTCGGTGCCTAGCGCGGTGAGAGGGGATAGAGACGGACAGACACTGAAGGGTGGATAGCAGAGGACCACGTGACCCACGTCCGCCAGGGCACGCACTTAACAAGGGAGAACACAGCCAGCTTAATAGAGACCCAGAACCTTCATTGAGCTAGTATCTGGGCTATGGGATAGCTTCTTTGATGTACCTCTTTGCCTTAAATTGCCTTTTAGTTTTAAGATTGTAGAATGATCCTGTCATTTAAATTGCAATCTTTTCAAATATTTCGATATGCTTAAAAAAAAAAAAAAACCCAGAAAACTACTGTCAGTATTAATGCTGAGCCAGACTGGCATCTATCGATTTAAGATCTATAGTTTCATTGAGATTCTTACCCCTTGTATTACAAGCTAGCCAATATCATGGCCTTGGCTACATGAGATGACACATTTACTGCCATTCATTGGGTCCTCCATCTGTCTGTCCATCCATCATCATTTGAGGGCCTAATACATGCCAGGCACTAGCATGCTAGGCATTGGGATATAAAAAGGTTATCCCTAACCTCAATTAAGTATGAAAAATGTCATTATTACCATTTAGGTTCACTTTATTTCATTTTTAACAATTATAAGTACATATCTAAAAAATTCTATTTTAAGCACTATTGTTTTTCATGACCATATTTTATTTTAAAAATAAGTTAATAATGATTATATGCATGTATGTTACTAATAATTAAAAATATTTCAAATCCCTGAAATGTCTGCCTTTTAAATATAACATGTCCTATTTGGTTGATTTTGGGAAAAAGTTTCAATTAGGAAGCTAAAGATTTTCACTTATTCCTTATGTAAACATTCTTCCTCCTCAATCACTCCTAAACACTCCCAAATTACTCACAAGTATTGATTTAACACTCAGTATTTTTGAACCTCAAGGGATCTCTTCTCTGAATAGCCACAAAAACTCACAGAAAATGACTAGGTGGTAAAAGTTATCCATTAATAAAATAAACAATCCAGGCTTACCAAACTCTAAAAATAAACAGAAAGCAGAAAAGATACAAAGAATGTTGAATACTGGCTTTTAAACTAATAAAGACTGTGAAATAAATGGGCTAAATAGGAAAATAATTTAGTGAGTCTTCTACACGCCATATTAGTGGCCTCGTAATTATTCAGACCACAGTCTGGATTAAAGACATTTTGCCCGTGGAGACTAGGATTCAGTCTCTCAACAGTACCAGAGCATATGAATCTACAACTTGACTATTTCCAGGAAATCTTTATATTTTTGCATAATAACCTTATTCACAATTTCAATCACTAGGCATTATTTGTAATAATGAACAATAATTTTTTCTCTCTGAAACCTCATATAGCAATCACACTCATAAACATTCCCAATATTGAGATTCTAAAGGAATTACAGTTTATTAAAGTTATCATGGCACTGAGAATTCATCTTTAGTAAATTGTGTGAGAATATAAAATTTCTGGTCAGAAGATATTTTATTTTAAAAGTAACTTGTCTTGATACTAATAGAGTAACTGATAAGTAAAAATTACCCTTTTCTATATATTTTTTATATTTAGAATTCATATTCACAATTAATATATTCAAACAGCTATATTTCATTTCCAGCTACCGAAAGTCTTGGGCCACTTTTAACACTTCAAGCATTTCATTTATCCTTGAAGCCAAAATGGTGCTCAATTATTTCAACTTGAATGTAAAAGTGTTGTCTTAGTTCACAGGATATAAACATTTAATTAAAATATAACTGCTTGCTACTAACTACATGACATATCATTTGGTATTGCAACCTTTTTAGTGAAGTTTTAGTTTCTTCCAAATTTTTCAGTAATCTTATTTGTAAAACACCTGTAACTTTTTTAAGAGCTCTTATTTTCAAATGCCCAGACACTGGCTTTATATTCTGCTTTACACTCTCACCTTCTTTTTTGTATGCTTATACAATGAGTGCAAAATTATAAAAATGCCTTGAATAAATGATTTCAAGTATCTATAGTGGTCATTTGTTGTTACATATAAATAAATGACATGAATTTCACTTTAGGTTAAAAATCTTAAAGCCATGTGTACAGTTAGTTGGTAGTTTTGCTTAGCTGCCTTTTGTATTAACAAATTGTTTCTTATGCTCACATGACTTGAAACTTGTCTATGATGGATAAAAAAATCTAGCTGATGTTTTAAAAAAGAAACTACATGAATGGATTGCAAATTTTGTCGCCATTGCCAACTACTTCAAGGACACAGAGCAGGCATTGTGAGAATAACCACATTCTGTTTTAATTAGGATTTATAAGAAATATGCATAAACATATATACACTCAGGGGACATATCCCACGCAAGCTACATGCTCTTCATACAAGGAGAAATATTGCTGTCACAGTAATCCTTACTTAAATGTGTATCAGATTAGCCTGGAAGTTGGTAACCTGAGAGAACAAATCGGCCCCAAACTGGACAAGTGTTTTGCTTTGTTTTTTTGGGGGGCGGGGGGGGAGTATTAACAAAATTAACACAAAAACAATGCATCTTTAAGGAGTTCTTGCATGTAAAATAGATGTAAGGCTTGCGGCTGGAAGCTTGCAGATTTGAGTTGTAGAATAGCAGTGCAGTGGTACTTGAAACCACCAATTCCTGCTTCCCTCCCCTGCTCAGGGCAAAGTATCTGAATACGCTTTCCTTACTAATGCAAATGATGATTTCTTTTGTCCCAACAGTGTTCAGTATTTCAAGCCCTGTTCATTATTGGCTTATTAGCCAAAGATGGGGAGAGCAGATCATTCCTTTCTGTCAGAAAACTTAACTGCCTTTTGCTACTCATTTATTAATATTTCTAATCCTTGTCGCAGATATTAGTAGAGGAGTATTAACATGCAAGCTGAATAAACCACTTTTATTTTAGTAATTTTCAGCTTAAATTTAAACAGCTCTTGCACCATACCTCTTTTTGACTTGAATAAATACAAAGTTCACACAGATTTAGGAGAATATTTATTTCTTCAAGTATGTGTGTGAATTCTAGTTTCAAAGGACAGTTCACTCAAAAGGATCCCATATTAAGGCCCTGGCCAGTGTGGCTCAGTTGGCTAGACTGTCGTTCCATGGACCAAAATGCCACAGTTTTGATTCCTGGTCAGAGCACATATGCAGGTTGCGGAATCTATCCCCGGTTGGGGCGCATACCAGAAGGCAACCCAATCGATGTTTCTCACATCAATGTCTCTGTTTCCCTCTCTCCCTCCCCGCCCCTTCTTCCTCTCTCTCTAAAGCAATGAAAAAAAAAAAGTCTTTGGATGAGGACCAAAAAAAAAAAACCCCATATCAAAATAAGTATGGGAAATGTTATCTCTATGGGAGGTATTCACAGTACATAGTGCCAGGTTAAAACATTCTGGGAAGTCCTGTAGTAATGAAACCACTTTATCTTTGTTACCTAGTGGTTCTCAGTTTGTTTTGCCATATATATCTTTTTTTATAGCACTTACGATGCTGTTAAATTACTTTTTTTCATAGAAAACTCTGGGATCTGCCATATTAAGTAATTACCAATTCATAAATGAGATTATTTGAAAATTACTTAACACAAACGTACGACAGTGGCAGCATTTGAGTGGTAAGGGGCAGATACCCCAATCCAACCAATTTACTGTCTGCCTTGCGTCCTAAACACTGCAATATTAAATAGGTAAAACAGATGTAGAATGATTCTTTTAATGGACTTTTCAATCTCTCAACCATGTTTTATTTTAGAAGGAAATACAGGCTTTTCTTATTTGTCAGATAACTTGAACTCTTTTAGGTACCTCTTATTAAAATCTCTCCTATTCAAACATTACTTGATAACACTGAGGACCAACCAATCATTTTTCTCATGGTTCATTCATTTCATATATTTGAAATTATTTTATGTTATACCTAATAGTATAATTTAGGTAAGTGTAAAATAAATCTTAGCACTTCTCAGAGTGGGCAGGAAAAAAATAGGATTGGATACAAATGACTTGGAAGGATATATGTGTGTATTTACACTTTGTTGCCAATAATTTGCTGCTTAGCTGTGGGATATAGGCACCAATCTGAGAGAGAGAGAGAGAGAGAGGGAGAGAGAACGCATGCAAGAGCTCACGTAAGTGCGAGTTGAACCAGCGATACAATAACCAAGCATATACCAAGGTCACTGTTAGAAATATAATATTGCTGGTTCCCAATTTCTTTACATATGAAGGCAAACCAGAATTCATGACACAATTGTATATAATAGGGGTTAAGGACAAATGTAATGATAGCTCCTGATAAGAGACAACTCCTTTTTTTCCTAAATAAATCAAATAATGTTGGATATTCATTGCACATATCTTCCTGAACTAATGTATAAATTTGGAGCCTGAAAAATTTGGACCAAATATCAACCAGTCATTTGCAATCTAGTGAATTATACCATTGTCATATAGCAAGTATTAGAGTCAACCATTTTCAATTATTACAATACCATTCATTCTTTAGAGGTATGATATTAGGGCAGAAAGTTTTACAACAATCTATAGCTGGGTTGCGACTGGGGCTAAGATTCATGGAGAAATAATCTGGTAGCTTTGATCACTTCACTTTTGTTTCAGGACTCTGGTTTCCGGTAATGGGAATATACTTAAACTTGCTTGGTCAGAGGAGGAAGTCATAGGTTCATGCAATCAAACAGAGGAAAGGCAAAGGTAGGATTGCCCCAGGCACAGATAGAACCAGGAAATCAAACACCATCAACGTTCTCGCTGTCACTGCTCTGAGTGCTGACTTCATGCTTTTGGTTTAGTTTCTCCATGAGGATGGAAACTTTACTGCCTGCAGATCTCACTACACATTCACACAGCTTGTTGATCAGAAAGCAAAGGGCATTACCCTGTAGCTCAAGTTTGAAAAACCTAGGGGAAGGCATTTCATAGGCTCAGGTTGAGTCATGTGTCACTGTGGATACCATGATAGGTCCAGAGTGAGTCAAGTGCTCCTCCTTATTCAATCACAGAAGTCAAGGAGACAGACTCAAGTCAAGGAGACAAGATCAAGTAAGAGAATGGCTGCTCCCAGCCAAATCGCATGACTGCTTTTTGGCTTCATGTGTGGGTGTGAGGGAAAGGTGGGGGAAAATAAAATGATTCTCCAGAGGAAAGGGATAAGTTATTATGGATATTTTCAGTGAGAAAATTACTGGGAACCAACAATCCACTTACTTATGTCCAGCAAAAAGATTCATAAAATCAACATCTGCATAATTCAGCTGAGAACCTTCCCT